CGTCAGCGGGTGGTGGGATGCCTGCCCAGCGGACGTGTTCGCGTTCCTCATCCAGCCCATCACACCACAGGTGTTCTTCAGGTAAGGGTGTGTGTGTAGCTGTGTCTGTGCGTGTATTTGCCTCTGTGAAGATGCAACGTTCACCTCCAAGCTCACACACACACGCTCACACATACACACACACGCTCACACATACACACGCTCACACATACCACCCCTCCATTACCACATCACTCCCCCCCCCCTCCCCCAAATCGTGTTGCCACCATCACCAGCGAGTACTGGGAGAAGAAGCCGCTGCTTGTGCGGCGGAAGGAGCGCGGGCACTTTGACGGCCTCTTCAGCTCAGAGGCAATCGACGCCATCGTCAGACAGGTGCCATGATGCAAAGGAGAGGGGGGGGCGTGTGGTTATGTGGTGTGTGTGGGTGTATGTGGTGTGTGTGAGTGTATTTGTTGTGTATGAGTGTATTTGTTGTGTGTGAGTGTATTTGCTGTGTGTGTGTGTGTGTGTGTGTGTGTGTGTGTGCACGAAAGTGTGTTTGCGGCGCTGCAGCGAGTGCATGTGACACACTTTTGCTTTTGGTGTTCACGCTGCAAACTTCCCACACACCACCACCACCACCACCGCCACCATTGCTCCGTGATCGCCCAGAACTACCTGAAATACGGCGTGAACCTCGACCTCACAAAGTATGCAGCGGTGGAGCACTTGAGATGTGTGTGTGTGTGTGTGTGTGTTTGGCAATTCGCTTTTTGCAGCGCCCCACCAGCTGCAGCTGCATCGCATCTGTTCACGGTACTGTTGCGGTCATCCGAAGCAACGCGATCGCTGACATGAGTCACTCGCTCACTCACCCTACACCACCACCACCACCACCACCACCATCACCGCATGTCAGGTACGAGGACGGAGAGCGGACGACGCTGAATCCTGACGGGCGCGTCCGTCCAAACGTCATGTGGGCCATGTTCGAGGTCGGTCCTGCACATCCCAACACCCAGCATCCAACACACACACGTGTACTTATTTACATACGCACATGAACACACATGGACACAAACACACGTACACACACGCACACACGCACATTTACACACGTGCAGTTGGCAATCACATGACTCTCTCTCTCTCTCTCTCACACATCTTGCTGCTTTACGACCGGCACACGTTCGCACCACCCACACCCACACCCACACCGACATGTAACCCCTCACCACCACCGCACACCACTGCGCACCACCGCATGACACACCACCACGTGGCCCGTTGTTCGCGACTGGTCTGACAGGACGGGTGCAGCGTGCGTGTGCTCAATCCCCAGACGTTCCACCAGCCCGTGTGGAAGGCAATCTCGGCACTGCAGGTTCAAGCGAAGACAAGAGAAGGGGAAGGGCGATGGGAAAGGAGAGAGGGGGAGGGGAAGGCAGGGAGAACGCTGTTCATATGTATGTGTGTGTGTCTACATGTGTGTTGACTTCCTGAGCGTGATGAGAGCCACGAGTGTGACTTTGCTTTGTGTAACCGACTTGAACACTGTCTACTTTCCCCTCATTCGAATACTGGACAACCCCCTCACCCCCTTCCCATCATCATCATCATCATCATCATCATCATCATCATCATCATCATCATCATCATCATCATCATCATCATCATCATCATCATCATCATCATCATCATCATCATCATCATCATCATCATCATCATCATCATCATCATCATCATCATCATCCTCATCATCATCATTGTGGCACTTGAAATGACACATGCCAGGACTACTTTGGGTGCATGGTTGGTGCCAACACGTACCTGACACCGAAAGGAACGCAGGGATTCGCCCCGCACTACGATGACATTGAGGTGTCTGTGTGTGTGTGTCTGTGCGTGTATGTCTGTGTGTCTGTGTGTGCATGTGTCTGTCTGTTTGTCTGTCTGTCTGTGTGCATCTGCGTTGTAATCGGTTTTCTCCCGTACCAGTATCCGTGCACCCTCCTCCTCATCTCACCACCACCATCGCCATCATGATCACCGCCATCATGGCCACCAGGCGTTTATCCTGCAGCTTGAGGGCGAGAAGCGGTGGCGGCTCTACGATCAGCCCGAGGGCGTTCGCCTCCCGCGCCACTCATCCCGTCAGTCTTTCCAATCACTGTGGCGGTGTTGGCGGTGGCAGTTACTGTGTTGGCGGTGGTGGTGCGCTTTGTGAAGTCATCGTATTTCGTGGCAAGCCTGTGGACGTTGTCCATTGTTCCCACATGCTTGACGCAACCAACAACCGCACGACACCAATTTCACACACACACAACACCATCAACAACACAGCAACTTGTCCTCGCCTCGCTCATCTCACCAACCCCTGACACATCACCCTATCAACCCCACCAAATTCAGCAAACTACGATGAGAGCGAGCTTGGCAAACCGTATCTGGACGTCGTGCTGCGCCCTGGCGACCTCCTCTACTTCCCACGCGGTACACACACACACACACACACACACACACACACACACACACACACACACACACACACACACACACACACACATGCGCACACACACACACGCGCGCATACACTTATGCAGGGTAGCTGTGTCGTGGGGTTCGCACACAAGCTAATGAGACATCATGACCAAGCCAACCCCACATCCGTCCACTCACCACGTGTTATGCCTTCCTCTCATCATCGCCACCCTCTCCCTCTCTCTCCCCAACGTCTTCCATCTCCACCCCCCCCCATGCACGGCAGGCGTTGTGCACCAGGCCGTGAGCCTGCCCAAGAGCCACAGCCTGCACCTCACGCTGTCCACGTACCAGCTGTTTGACTGGGCGCAGTACATGCAGAAGCTCGTGCCCCAGGCGCTGGCAAACGCCATTGAGGAGGACGCGGACTTCCGGTCCGGTCTCCCGCGCAACTCTCTCGATTACGTCGGACTCAGCAAAGTTGACGAGGTGCGTGTGGGTGTATAGTTGTGTGCACACTTGTGGATGTACTTGTGTGCATACTTGTGGGTGTACTTGTGGGTACTTGCAGGCACGTGTGCGCTTTTCCAAACTTGCCTCTGTCACACGCAATTCACGCCACTGCACGTACCCATCACTTGCTCCTTATCCCTTGTGCAGAACCCGCCGCAGCGCGAGAAGTTTATCAAGCAGGCCAAGCGCCTTATGGCAAAGCTGGTGCGATCACAACTGTGATGATGATGATGGTGGTGGTGGTGAAAGGCGTGAACATCGTGTTTCGTGTGTGTGTGTGTGTGTGTGTGTGTGTGTGTGTGTGTGTGTGTCTGAACCACCTGGCGATTAGCAAACCTTTTACACACGACGCATCTGACACATTCCACCACGTAACACCACACCACATAACACCACACCACACCACACCACACCACACCACACCACACCACGTCACACCACACCACGGGCACGGTGCAGCCCGAGTATGCGTCGTTTGACGCTGCGGCGGATCAGGTGGCGGTCGAGAACATCCACAACTGCATGCCGCCCTGCCTCAGCCACGAGCAGCAGGCACTCAGGTAACAAGCAAACATTTCCGTGCTGTTTGGAGTGTGTGTGTACATGTGTGTGTACATGTGTGTGTACATGTGTGTATGTGTGCACATGTGTGCACATGTGTGTATGTGTGCCAATGTGTTCGTGTGGGTTTCTTGAGTAGTGCGACGTCACATTTGTTCCTCAGCTCCCAACTGCACACCTGTGATCACACCTCACCACCATATCCCATGTCATCATCGCACAACAGCGGCCGGCTGCGTCCGCGCCGCGGGTTTGTGCCGAAACCGCTCAAGATGAACTCGTTCATCCGCATCATCTCTCCCCGCGCTGTCCGCCTGGTACGCTGCCCTGCTTGTTTGGTTTGCTCGTTTTGTTTGTTTGTTTGTTTGTTTGTTTGTTTGTTTGTTTGTTTGTTTGTTTGTTTGTTTGTTTGTTTGTTTGTTTGTACATATTTGGACTTGTGTCTGCGTCTTTACGCGCGTGATCAGCAATCCCCGTCACCCAACCCATCGTCCATCCCGCCTGACCCCCCCCCCCAACACACACACATACACATTGAACAGATGGCTGATGGCAACAACGCCTTGCTGTATCACTCGTTTGACAACGGCATGCACTACCACGCCGAGGAGCCGCAGTGCATCGAGTTCCCGCTGGTACAAACACATGTCACGTGGCGCGTGGGCTTTTTTCATGTGTGCACGATCATACGCACACATGCGTGGGCACGCATGAACACAAACAAACGCGCACAACCGTACAAACGAACAAACAAACACATGCACGCTCCCCTCTCTGCTGATTCGAATCTCATTCGTCATTGCAATGTGTGGATGATTGTTTCGACATCAGGATTTCGCCGAGGCCTTGGAGCAGATTGTGAACAACAAGGAATTCTTCCCCATCCGCGCCCTCCGTGACATCCCAGAGGAGTGAGTGGTGTATTGTCGTGGGGTTTGGTGGCATGTGGCTGTGGTGGCATTGTGGGCTGTGATGGCGGCAAGAGGATGGACACGCGTTGACGTTCGTTGGCGCCACCTTGCCAGCCACACGCACACAGACACACACACACATGTAACCACACACACACGCATACACGCACACACACACACCACCTGTTAGGATGCAATTGGACCTGGTGACATCCCTGTATGATGCCGGACTCCTGCTCGTGCAGCCCATGGACGATGAGGACGAAGACGACGATGAAGATGAACGCGATGAGAGCGAAGAGGATGAGGAAGAAGAGGACGACGATGGTGACGAGGAGGAAGAAGACGATGCGTGACGTACCGCAGCTGCCAAACTACTCGTTGCATACATCGCAGAGATGTGACACCGCAGTCACGCACGCGCCATGTCAAACGTCGCGCCACGCCACACCTTTCCCTTTCCTCTTTTGTGCATTCACACACACACACACACACACACACACACACACACACACACACACACACACACACACACACACACACACACACACACACACACACACACACACACAACACACACCACCAACCATTTTGCTTCCCGACAGCATAAATTACACTTGTGATGTGTCATTCCGCAATGTGACGAAGATACCCACAAAATTTCGTTGGCCTGGGTTTTGCCCGCCAAACCACGACTTGCCGCTTTCTTCTTTCTTTGTTCTTCGCCTGTAACCGCTTCTGCTGTCCACACAAATCTTGCATTGCACACACACACAAATCTGTGCCTCCTGATCCCAGTCACATCAACCGCACCACACACCGTCCGTCCCACGTCGAGTAAGCAAACAAGCGAGAAAGCACTGAGCAGTGGGTGTGTGCCACTGACCACTGGCTGTGTAGTTGTGATACCTTCCACGAGCAATAACGAGGTGAGCACGCCGTCGCCTTGCGTAGGTCCTGTCACGTCGCTTTTTCCTCTTTGTTTACATCCTGGCGTTTTTTTTTTTTTGGCGCGAACCACATATCGCCTATGTCAGTGCCACTCCAACATGTACATATATCTGTCCGCACCTCCGCTGTTTGACCAGTTGGTCTCGACGAGCGCTTGTTGCTCTTGTCCACCTTTTTTTATTCCGTGCGCTGGGTGGCTTGCTTCATTTACATGTACCCATCTCTGTTTGCGTACCGTACAGTACCGGTTGGTGGAACTGACACTGGTGTGTTCCATATCGTTGATCAGATCGTGTTTGCCTTTGCCTTTGACGTTGTTCTTCCTTCCTCCTGCGTCGACCATCCTTTCCTTGGCGCGCATCCCGCCCTTTGTCTCTCGTTTACACCATATCTCTTCCTCGCACACACACACACACGCACGCTCACTCGCTCACTCACTCACACATTCACACACGCGTCGTGCACGCATGCATACATGCACATACACACACGCACATCAACACACACACACACACACACACACATATCAACAACCCCTCCCCCCTTCCCCCTCCACACACACACACACGCACATCAACACACACACACGCACACACACACACAGGACATAACCGGGCGCCATGTCGCTGATCCCCGTGTACCTGTTTGTGGACGACTCCAACTTCTGGATTGAGGGCCAAAAGGCGTGTGCGCACTCGCTCGGCCTTAAGGAACCCCGCGACGTGCGGTTTCGCATCCACCTGGAGAACCTGATTGCGTTTGTGACGGTCAAGTACGGGCCCATTAAAGGCGCCCACCTATTTGCCTCCGAGGCCTTCAATAGCGATGGCGTCTGGCGCAAGGCCAAGGAGGTCAAGTTCAAGGTGCACAACTTCTCCCGCTCCCTGCGCGGCAAGGAGAAGGAGGTGGACCAGGCCGTATGCGTGGAGCTGGCCTTTCAGGCGGCCGTGACGCGCGAGCGCCATGAGGAGGCGTCCTTTGTCATTGTCACCGGCGACCGCGACATGATGCCCGCCGTGCATAAGGCCCTGTCCTGCGGCATCCACGTGCACCTGCTCGCCTTCTCCTCGGGCCTGGCTGATCAGTACAAGCACCTCGACAAAAACCACAACCTCTTTCATATTACCCTCATGGATGAGTATCTGTTTGAGGTTGGCTACGTCGACCACGGCTCCACCCGTAGCGTCATCGATAAGCGCCACGCCGTTGTCATTGCCTCCTTCAACCCGCCGCTCACGGGCGCCAACGCCAAGATATCGCCCACCAGCCGCGACGAGGACTCACCGCCGCCCCAGCCCGCCAACAAGTGCCCCACCACCGTGCGCCAGGTGACGCGCGTGCTGGATACCCTGCACCAGATGTACTTTATCCACGTCGCCGGCGGCGGCTCCGCCATGATTGTGGAGTTCCCCAAGGCCAAGCTCGACATCATCATCCCGCGCGCGCGCGATGCCCTGGAGAAGAAAGGCTACACGGGCGTGGAGGTGTACTCGTATGCGCTGTGGAAGGGCCAACAACAGCAACAGAAGTTGAAGGTCGATGAGCAGCGCAAGAAGAAGGAGCAGCACCTGACCAACCAGCCGTTTGCTGCGCTGCAGGTGGAGGACCCAGACACCACCACCACCACCAGCGACCACGATGCTGATGAAGACGATGATGACGATGAGCACGACGCTGCCAACACTAGTGTTGCGATGCATGACGGCGCTGTGGTTGCCGCTGTCACGGAGAATAGGCACGCCGCAAGCGCTAACCAGCACCACCACGACGACCTCTATCCGCTGTATGATGTCGAATACCACAATTACCAACAGCAGCAGGTGGATGAGCAAGATCAGCACCAGCAGCATGATGATGCGGAGGCTGCCGACAAGAAGAAGAAGAAGAAGAAGAAGCGCAAGAGGAACAGGAAGAAGAAGCAGGACCAGGAGAACGGCCACGACAACAGCAACGGCGACAACCACGGCGACGAGCAAAGTGAGCAGCAGGATGCGCAGACGCAGCAGGAGCGTGACGACCACGCCATTGCAGCGGCCGCGTCACGCGCGTGGAACGACAGCCCCGCCGCCGGCGACGGATATCTTGGCCTGGGCATGAACGGCTTTGGTGCGGCCTCGGACGTGTTTGCCAACCACGATGGCAGCGGCCGGAGCAGCAACAACAGCAGCGGCAACAGCGGTGGCGGCGGTGGTGGCGCTCTGTTTGACGACTTTATTGGCGCGTACGGCACGGCCGACACAGGTGCTGTTGGAAACTACGACGCCTTCCACGACTCAACGGCCACCACCAGCAACCGCCTGAGCAGCAGCGGCAACAGCAACAGCAGTGGCATCGGCACGTCAACGACCGCACCACCACCACCACCACCAGCAACGACGGCGGCGGTGGTTGATCCGTGGGGCGACACGCAGGCAACTGCGCTCAGCAGCGGTGTGCAGCACACGAACATGCACACGAGCAACACGACCACGGCTTCCGCTGGCACCAACCCGACGCCGCCGCCGCCAGGCCTGGTCACGCCGCAGCGCATGGCACACCAGCACCAGCAGCATCAGCAGCAGCAGCATCAAGGCGCTGAAGATGAGCTGCTGCACGACGACGCTGCCATCAACCACTCGCAGGCCCAAGTCAATCACCAGCAGCACCAGCACCAGCAGTCAAGTGGCACATCCCTGCTGTCGTTCCTCAACAACCACCAGCACCAGCAGCAGCAGCAGCAGCAGCCCCTGGATACGCTGATGGAGAAGCTGGCTGCGATGCAGGGCGGTGTGTCGCTCTCACAGCAACAGCAGCAACAGCAACAGATGCAGCAGCTGGAGAAGAAGGCACAGGAGCTGCTGGGCGTGCTGAAGATGGTTCAGAGCATGGAGCAGCAACTGCAGCAACAGCAGCAGCGGCAACAACAGGCCCAGCAGCAGCCGTCGCTGCAACAACAGGCTGAGCAGCTTCAGAAGCAGTTTCAGCTGCAAAGCATGCGCCAGGACGCCGAGCAGCAGCTGCAACAGCTCCAACAGCAGGTGCTGCAGTATCAGCAACAGCAGCAGCAGCAGCAGCAGCAGCAGCAGCAGCAGGCGTTTACTTCCGCCGCAACATCCATGGCTCCGAGCAGCAGTGTCGCTGGTATGGGACTGTCCATGCAGCCGCAGCAGCACCAGCAGCAGCAACAGTACCAGCAGAACTTGTTCGGTATCACCACCAGCAGCAGCAGCAGCACGGCTGCCGACAGCATGGGCTTCTCGCCCTCCCTCTGGTCCGGCCAACAACAGCAGGCAGGTGGGCTGCAGGGCTTCATGTCCCAGCATGGGCTGGTCGGCACGAGCAGCCACGGCACGAGCCCCTATGCCCGCATGAACGGCACGACGCCAACGCCGCCACCGCCGCCACTGGTTGACTCGCGCGCCTTTCCTGGTCAGCCACTCCCCGCTGCCTCAGCCACCACCACCAGCACGCATGCAACGGCGCCAGCACCACCGCCACCGGCCACGGCCAACGCCGCACTCAGCGCCAGCGGCGCCACGAACAACAACAGCAGTTACAGCAGCGGTGGTGGTGGTGGGCGTGACTTTGTTCCTTTCCGTCTTGGCGGCGGCGGCGACCAGGACATGTATGGGCGAAGTGATGGCCGCGACATGCAGGACGACACACCTGACTGGGGGATCAGTGACGGTGATGACGACACGACGTGGCCGTCACTCGGCGGCGCTGGTGGTGGCAACGGCGCCCGCACGAAGAACAACGCAGCAACAGCAGGTGGTGGTGGTTCGCTCGACTACCGCGCCATGGCGGCCACGCCAGCCACTGGTGGGCAGCAGGGCAAGGCCACCAACAACAACAACAACAACAGCGGCAGCACTGGCACTGGCACTGGCACTGTTGGTGACGCCACGGCCAGCAAGAGCAGCAAGAACAAGAAGAAGAACAAGAAGAAGAACAAGGCCAAGGCCGGGAGCGCCGCGAATGACATGGCAGCGCGGCTTGGTGACGAGTTTGATGAGTTTGGAATCCGTCGACAGAAGAGCAGCGACTGGCACGAGGTGTTGCGGGGCGAGTCGACAGACGACAAGCTTGCCCGCAGCCGCAAGTACAAGGACCCCTGCCGCTATGGCATACACTGCAGCAACGCCGCCCAGTGCACGTACAAGCACACGCCGTGGGAGGTGGCCATGTTCAAGCGGTTTCCTAACCACAAGTTTCTGTTGTACAAGAGCAGCCGGTGTATCAATGAGCGCCCGCACAACCCGGCGGACTGCCTGTTCTCGCACGGGCTTGAGAACGACGATATGGAATGGTGCGTCTCCTGCAAGCAAGAGGGGCATCTCACCAACAACTGCCCTTACACCCGCAAGAAGTGATCATGTGTCTGTGTGTGTGTGGGGGGGGGGGTCGTGTATGACAGTCTGCTGTTGTTACTGCGTTTGGTGGATGGTTTCTCAAAGGCTGGTGTGGTTTGTGTGATGTTGGCTTCTTCCTTCTGCTCTGAGTGTGTTGCGGGCGTGTCACCGCTCGCGTTTCATGTGTGTGTGTGTGTGTGTGTGTGTGTGTGTGTGTGTGTGTGTGTGTGTGTGTGTGTGTGTGTGTGTGTGTGTGTGTGTCGTCGTGTC